AATTGTTGAGATGAAAAGACTGTGTCATTGTCTATTATTCCAATAATGGAAAAAATAAGAATTTAATAAGATCACTCCAGCAAAATTGTTAATCTTTATCTAGAGCACAGCTCAAAGCATGTTCTTTTTTATTTTCCCTAGGATTTCCTTTGGGCTAGCATTTTCTTGGCATTTAAGCATAGATTTATACTACTATATTGTAAGGTATCTCATTTTTAATTAGTTTAAATAAATCTAAGGACGATCGGAATCTCATTTTAATTTAGTTAAATGAATCTAAGGACATAATCTTTACATAGGTCCAAATGATACTATGTATTGTCAAAACTTAAATTATAAGAAACACACTCGCCTTATCTACCGTCCCGGGTTTATTTGCTTAATATATCGTTTTATAAGTAAAACTGCTCTTAGAAGTAAATAAATGATATAGTCCATAACTTATTCAAATAGATAATCGAGAAACAAGAAGATGAATAATTGGCGGATTTAACAAGAATAGGGAGTCTCGAAATCAAGACGATCTCGAGCTTAAATATATATCCGCGCGCTCGGCCATGTTAACCGTTTTATTTCGAAATATAACTTGTCAAAAAACAATCTCGTGAATCTTATCTCACCACTGGAGAGGACGGCATGCTCCACGGATATGTTCATTATTTTTACGTGTCGATGTTCACACACCCCGCGTCTCCAGGTCCCCCTATATCTGTCTTCCCAGATAAAAGGAATACCCTCCGAAAGTTTCATATCCCGATGATCTCAAGGTCCATACGAGAATTGAGATGGAGCCTTTTAAGGATCTGCTTGGGGTCCAATTTCGCTCATAGAAAAGACACCGTTCTTGTCGCTCCACGAAACGTCGATCTATGGAAAAATTAATTATGATCGTATGACATCGCGAGCAATAATTTCAAGTCCCACGTCGCGTTTTTCCATCTCTCATCGATCCGGCGCTTTCGAATATCGATTTATCGTCGTCATGCGATTCTCCTCATGCAAGAAAGTTGCTTCCAAATGGAAAGAAAAGAAGGAGTAGAAGATGAGGCCAATAAAATATCGAAGAAAATCAACGTGACGTCACGGTTACCGATAATATTCTTCGCAATTATATGGCCATTGAAAAGGATCTCGTTGCGATATAATATATATATATATATATATATATATATAAATATAACTCCAATATATATATACTAGTATTTCAAATCGAACTCCAACACTACTACTATTTGCCAATTTGACATCCACCCATCATCTTTCAATCGGCCGGTTTTTATTCCCTTTTGATTTCTTTTTCCATTCCTCTTTCTTTTCCCTTTTTCCTCCCCCCTTTTATTTCCCCATTGAAAAGCCAATACTCCTTTTGCATGTTAAAGATGAAAAGACTACATATATATTATATATATAAATATAAAAAAGACTCACAAATTATCTTAATTGTTGGATCACAAACTAACCCACCTCCCCGTGCAAGAGATTTATAGAAATCTAATTTTGTTTTTACAGTAGGGGTATTCAAATCTCGCATCTGAATTCAGGTGAATCCTAGCACGACCTTCTTTTTTTTTTAAAAAATTTTTGAAATGGTTTTACTGGAATTTAATTGTCAACATCGGTAGGCAAAGCCTGAGTAAAGCGCAAGTTGTTCCGAGCACATGGAATCGCCGGTGTAATTTAATGAATCGAGCCGCGGTTTTTCAGGTCGGCCTTTAGAAGTGTCGGGATCGCGAATCAAACATGGTTTTTTAAAAATACGACCGGGATGGTCAATTTTGTCTCCACTCGCGCTGAGGGAGAGCATCCCGTGGGGGGGAATATTATCGTGGTGTGTCACAATACTTAGGTACTAAGGTTCTATTAAGTAAGTACACGGGACACACGCGGTAGGAGAGATAGAGAGGAAGCTTGCGGAGTACAAAAGATTTGGAGATTGAGAGTGAGATTCTACTTAGAGAAAAAAAAAAAAAGGAATTTAGTAATTGATTTGATTTAAAAAAAGGGGCTTTTTTTTTTATTTTGGAAAAGAGGGGTTTTAGGGCATGAGGCAATTGGGAGCGGGGAGGATCTTCTATCTTCAATGGGTACAAGCAACCTTATGTTGTGGTGTCTTTTTCACCAAATTAGAAGAGGATCCTAAGGATGTGGTTGGGTTTGGGCTCTTTTGGGGGGTAGAAAACGAAAAAAATAAGAAAAAGAAAATGCTCAATTGATTCAAAAATTTTGTTTTCTTTGTGGCCACACACATTTTTCATCAATTTATGGAGTTCGATTCCTTTTCACATTTTTCTACGTGGCCTCTCCCTATCTCTCAAGGGCAGAAACAGTTAATTAGGCCGATTTTTCTTTAAATTGGAATTACTCGAATACTTAATCAAGTCGAGCTCGAGCTTGAAATGCTCGACTGACTAGCACATAAACACAATTGGGTAGTTCATTTTCGTGTGTTTTACTAATATAAAATGTATAAACGAATAGAGTTATTTTTGATATTTTGGGTTAATCTCGGAATATGAGCTCGATCTTGAGAAGTTAACCCAACTTGATTAAGCAAAGCAAAATCTCTGCTTCTCGAAGATTAGATCAGAGTACGAGTCTTTCGCCCTAAATCATTTAATTTAAAAAGCTGCTGCCAACACCTTTTCGCAGCATGGGGACTTGTGAACAAGAAGTGATGCTGTTGACGACAAATCTATCAGGAAGGACCACCTTCCTTTCTTTCCTTCCCCTTTTTCTTCGTTTCATTTTTTGTTGCTTGTTCCTGGATTTAGCTTTTATATTGTTGGACCATATCATAAAAAAAAAAACCAGATGTTATATGGTTTGGAGTCACATAAAATCTCATTGTTTTTTTAGCCCCACCTGTGTACTGTTTGACACTGACCAGATCACGATGTCCCAACTTGATTGAGGAATTTTTCTTTTGGGGGTCACGATCTGAAAAACAACCACAAGTTGGGAAATAATGGTGATGAAGCCAAGACAGCAGATAATGCCACGCACCATCCCACCAAAGTCAATTTGTCTAAGCCGGATAAAAACAAAGTAAATTTGTCCTCTAATCAAATCAAATCAAATCAAATCAAACTGTAACGACAAGCTTAACCCCCCAATAAAAAATTCAGAAAAAAAAAATTGTCTTTAAGTATTAAATTGGTGCGACATTAGAGCGTGACCTCTATTGGCTATGATCTCTTCTCATATTGCTCCCCGCTCGAAACAGACAAGAACATACGCACGTTCTTTAAAATAGTTCTTTTCCAAGACTACTTCGTGTCCACATAATTTATCATCCCACAGGGAAGTACGCAACCTCGTTCCTATGAGAATTGAAGGGTGGTTTGACAAGATTTCGGGATTTATTATTATTACATCGCGCTCTGTATATATACAGAGACGATCAATAGCGGTGAGACGAAATTAAGCGCACGCGCATTCATATTAGGTCAAGTTAACGACGTACCGCGTGTTATTTTCTGTCGCGATCGGCCTCACCTTAGGTTTACCAAACTATTAGAATGACATGGAATAAATCTATGTGTCCGTCAATAATTCATGGTTTAGAACGAGATCGTGGACCTAAGGGAGGCACGAGAGGCCAGAAAATGTGGGGACGAAATGAGGAGGCGTGGACGAATGTTTGGAGGCTTATGATTTGGACATCGATGGCATCTGAAGGGAATCTTTGGGTTTGACTTTCGGTTGGTCGGAGCCTAAAAATTAGATTCTGGCAGAATTCCCCACGCAATATTCATCTTGGACAATTCTTTCTTGGGTCCGAATTTTAATTTAATTTAGAAAAATAAAAACATATCTGGGACTAGTGTCGTAAAACTCGATGAACGAACTTAATGTTTTTTTTGTTTTTGATAAATTCATTCGCAAGATACGTCGTAGTCAATCGAATTATTAAAGTTAGGACCACCGATAGCGAATAATTAATTTCACATGCTCATCAGTCATCATGCATCATATTTGTACGTATTGCTTCATGTACTTCGATTTTGATACGGTATCATTAAGAACGAGTCAAAGAGGCGTGTCGTGCCGATAGACCTGTCGGAATGGATCATGGACCCGTTTATTAATCCATATTTGATAGGCTGGGTTGTTAAATGGGTAGTTAGTTATATTTAATAAATGGGTTTATACCCAATTCTATGGGTCATAAATGGGATTAACATAGGTGTTAAATGGATTCACGACTTACTTAAACCTAACCCTCGCTCGTCAATAAATTTGAATATAGAAGTGTTGGGTATGAGTCAATAAATTTGTATTGCATGGAAATCGATTAAAACGGATTAAACGAGTCTATTTAGATCGGACCAATTTCAACATGACCCAAACCTGAACCGCTCGTCTCACAAGTCTACGTGGCGGGTCTGAGATAGTCGAGCTCAAGTCGCGCCGCATCTGGGGTTTCGCATTCGAGTCGCGTCCGCGGGCCTCACCAAATCGCGGGGGCCCACGATCGATTCGAGGCTTCTTGGGCCCCACGACCAACAAGAAGACAGTATAAATGTCCGGCCCACGAGAAGGCTCCTCAGCCTCCGGCGATCTTCATCTTCTTCCTCGGCCCAAACTCATCATCGTTCTGCTTCGACAACATCGGAGCGCGCGCTCTGTGTAACTCCTACTCCTCCTCCACGCACGGAATGGATCAACGAGAATCTCAACAGCTTCGTCGTGTACCGAGCTTTGAGCGCCCGCTACGTGTTGCCCTCTCCCGCACGTGTCCCTCGTGCACCCCCACGTACCCCACGTACCCCTCCCCTATATCACCACCGATCTCCTCTTCTTCCCCCAAGCTCTGAACTCAGTCTCTATCTCTCTCTCTCTCTCTCTCTCTCGTTGCGTGAAGTTCTGGCAACATGGGGAACAAGCCTTTGGCCGTGACGTTCTCGGTGCTCTTGTTCATTATCGTCGCCGTCCCTGCTCTGCGCGTGGAAGGTGGCGGAGCGAGGGATCGCGACGTCAGCGTTCGGGGTGTTCGTGACACGGATGAGGGAGGAGAGGACGTTGGCATGGTGGTCAGGAGGGAGGACAGGAAGCCGGTCGCGGAGACGGAATACGGAGAGATCTCGGCGGTCCGAGTGCGCGACGGAGCCGGGGGGGTTTACCACCTGCAGTTCATCACGCTCGAGCCCAACGCTCTGTTCCTCCCCGTGCTCCTCCACTCGGACACGGTCCTCTACGTCCGCACTGGTAATATAATGTTACATCAGTGATGGTGGAACTTAATAACTTCATGTGATTTCTATGCCAATGTTGAGTGGTTCCTGGGTGTCAAGTAAAAAACCCACAGGCCGAAACAGAATAGATGAAGATCCTTTATCCGGCACGGCGCGCTCGACGTCGGTGTCTCCGACCAACCTTGTGTCGGATAAAGGATTGGATTCATGGCCCCCGTGTCGCCTAACCTTGGCACACCAGATGAGATCAGAGGGGCGCCATTTCCTCGGACCAAACCGGCCTTTGCGGCCAATGTCCCATGCCGACATGTTGTGACTCTAGGAGAAAGTCTAGGCAGTAAGTATACTCAGCTGGCGATGCTATACCTGCTAAACTTGGTGTTTAAGTAGTAGAGGACACAAGTATTACATTCACGCCAGTCATCGGGGGTTTAATTTTGGACTAGTTGCAAATTTCCATACTATTTAAGAAGTTGTTGGTCCCTTGTAGTGTATATTTTAATTTACTCGTTATAATTAGATACGTTTGAGAGGATTAGATGTTGAGAAGATCAACAAAATGAAATGAGCAAAACCAGTTTGATCGATTTAAAGTAGGAAAATTCTAAAGTGCATTTCCTTCTGAGGTGAAACAGGGAGTGGAAGGCTGAACTGGGCTGATGAGAATGACGTGAAGAGGATCGATTTGAGGAAGGGGGACATTTACAGGCTCTGGCCAGGTACCATTTTCTATGTCCAGAGCAGCTTGGAGCCCGAGCGCGAGAAGCTCCGGATCCATGCCATTTTCACGAATACTGAAGAAGACGAATATGTATGTTCGGGTCCTCTTCTTAGTAAATTTAACTTTGATCTGTGCGATCGACCTTGGCTATTAACCGCGCCCGTGTATGTGAACAACATCCATTTTATTTTAGGAGCCATCAATCGGGGCGTACTCTAGCATTGGGGATCTGCTTCACGGGTTTAACAGCAAAGTCCTCCAAGAAGCTTTCAAGGTACGTTTAGTTTATGTTGTCCCTAATTGTCGTGGGTCCTTGATTTGTGTTATGAGTGGTTGTTTGAAATGAAACTTTTGCCTATGGCAATGTATGTTTGCCGCATTGAAGTTACGAAGTTGTTTTGAAGATGTCTGATGAAATGGAGCGATGCGATCATATTATTTTGGAATTCCATGGCGAGTGAATGATGTAAATAGAACTTGGAGTCAATGGGAGGTTTGAATTTCATGCTAGACTAGCAGAGGGTTTTAAGGAGAATTTATTGCTAGAAACACTTTGATTGATTAGCTAACCATGCTTCCGGAAAATTAAAATTAACGCTGAATTGCATAATAAAGCATGGTTTTGTTAATCATATCGTTTACCATATTGATTAGACAGGTCGACTATCCCAGCATAAATTGTGGCTATGCTGTAATGTTTTGAGTCAGAACAGGAATAAATTTGACTCAACCATGTGACCAGAAGAGAGGACTGTCTGATTTATCGCCTAATTGATAGCCAGAGAGTCAGTTGCCCAGATTTGATTGTCATCTTGATGGATCCCTCGAGTAAATTTGTCTGCTAAAGCTCCGGCAACAACGATATCATAAAATTTCCATTCTCATGTCTGACATTAAAACTCTTAGATATCTTCTAGTACTTATGGTGATTGATCTTTCTAGGTTCCTAAGGAAGTGGTCGAAGAAATAATGAGTGCAACAAGGCCACCGCCAATAGTCCGCGCCCCAGCTTCAGAGACGAGGACTAAGTACTGGGAATGGGAAGCGCGATTCTTGAAGACCTACCTGAGCAGCACCGGTTACCGCGCAGAGGGTCCCAGAAGCAACAAGAAGATGAAGACGTTTAACCTATTCAAAGCGGACCGCGATTTCGAGAATTGTAACGGATGGAGCCTGACAGTGACCAGGAAAGACATGCACGCGTTGAAGCACTCGAATGTCGGGGTTTTCATGGTCAATCTCACAAAGGTCAGTTCGAGACTGGTTTAAATTACAGGAGCCGATAAACAAGTATACTTGTGTCGGGGACATACATACGTCACCAAAGGTTTGTTTGGCCTAAGGATTAGGCTTTCAATGAAATGTGTGGTGCTAAAATGTTGCCATGTCTCTTGGGTGAGAGTCATCCACGAATCCTAACTTCTATATTGAACCTTATCGAAGTGAAGTGATAATTATAGACAAGGGACGGGGACATGAATTTACGATCGCTCTGGCGAGATTAATTGGTCTTCTTGTTTTCTTGTCTTTGTTTTATATCCTGAACTCATGCTTTGCTTATAGACACTACTTCCAACAGGTTGAATGATGACGAGCATGTTCAGAAATCATACTTAAGCTCAAGTGAATTATGAGTTCTTGCTAACTTAATGCTCGCTATAGGACTGATTTCGGTTGTTTTTAGGGATAATGTTCTGAAATTTGAGTGCAGTTCATGAATTTGGACGAACTTCTACGCATTTAGGACATGCACGTTCTTGTCTTCTAACCTAATAAATTCTGTTCTCTTTCGCTTTCTTGCTTCTCGGTCTCAAGGGCTCGATGATGGGGCCGCATTGGAACCCGAGAGCGACGGAAATAGCCATAGTTTTAGAAGGGCAAGGGATGATCCGAGTGGTGTGCTCGAGCACTGCCAAGGAATCGGAATGCAAGAACACAAGGTTCAAGGTGAGTGAAGGGGACGTGTTCGTTGTGCCGAGGTTCCACCCCATGGCTCAAATGTCCTTCAACAATGAGTCCTTTGTCTTCATGGGCTTCAGCACTTCAACAAAGAGAAACTACCCTCAGTTCCTTGCGGGGAAGAGCTCGATCCTCCGAGCGTTGGATAGAGACATCCTGGCGGCGGTGTTTAACGTCACCAACACCACGATCGGGCAGATCCTGGCGCCGCAGACGGATTCCATCATATTGGATTGCACCTCATGCGCCGAGGAGGAGGAGGAGAGGATAATGGAGGAGGAGATTAAGAAGGAAAGAAGAGAGGAGGAAGAGGAGGCTAGAAGAAGAGGAGAGGAGGAAGAGGCCAAAAGAAGAGAGGAGAAAGAGGTGGCTAAAAGAAGAGAAGAGGAGGAAAAGGCCAAAAAAAGAGAAGAGGAGAAGGAGAGAGAGAAGCAGGAAGAGCAAGAAAGGGAAAGAGAGAGACAGGGAGAAGAGGAAAGAGAGAGGGAGAGACGAGAAGAAGAACAAAGAAGACAAGAGAGGGAAGAGGAAGAGGCCAGAAGAAGGGAAGAGGAGGAGAGAGAAAGAGAAGAAGAACAAAGGAGGAGGGAAGAAGGAGGAGGCGGAGGAGAGAGAGAGCAAGAAGAGGCGAGGAGAAGGGAAGAAGCGGGAGAGAGATGGGAGAGACAGAGACGAGAAGAAAGGCGGCGTCGGCAGGAGGCAGCAGAGAGAGAGCAAGACGAGGCAAGAAGGCAAGAAGAGGAGATGCAGTGGCAGCACGAGGAAGAGTGGGGTGGATACGAGGGAAGGAGAGCTGTGGAGGAAGTGTGGATCAAGGCCTGAACCTTGGACCTTGGAGAGATTTGGCAGGGCAAATCAGTAGATGAAACCGAATAAGGACCCTGTCTCTCAGTTTGTTTGTTCTAGTTAATGAACTTTTTTTTACCCTGCTTTATTTAGAATGTTTTGAGGCAAATCAACCTTGGTATGGATGAATGTAAATGTTGTTTGAGTACATCTAATCAAGCTTTCTCGCAAACTCAAGATTTCTGCTGCAGAAATACCCATTTTGAAGTTGACGTTGTGTAGATTGGATAACCAGTTCATGAAGCATCTCGAATTTATGTGGACTGATGATCAATGCCACTTAGGGGTGTCAGAACCGAACCGAAAAATCGGTTCGAACCGAGATACGAACCGAACCGAACTGGAAATTTTGTGCATTTCGGTTTGGTTCGGTTTTCGGTTTGGATACTCAAAACAAACCATTTTTTTTCTTTCAATTCGGTTTATTTCAGTTCGGTTCGGATCGAACCGAATTGAAAATACACCCTTCGCTTTTTACCCTAAAAGGCTTTTAGGGCTCTTCGTCGTCCCGCCCTTCCTCAGCCTTATCGTCGTCCCGCCCTTCCTCAGCCTTACTTCCCAGATCTTCCGGCCCCGTTCCGTCAAGAAGAGCTGGGACACTATCAACCTTGTCCTCGTCCTCTTCGCCATCATCTGCGGGTTCCTCAGCAGATCCAACCGCGGCAGAGACGCGGGGTCGTCGAGCTCGTACCCGAGGTTGGACTCGCGGAAGTCGTCGTCGTCGTCGAACCCGGCGACGCCGTACAAGTGGTACGACAGCTACGACCGTCGGAGCTCTGATCGGGGCGAATATGGGTTCTCCTTGAGTTCGTCTGGGAGGGTGAGAAATAGCAGCTCGTACCTGGATCCGAGGGACGCTTGATTTACCTTCGTGTCTCTTCTTCCCTATGCTTCACCAGAGGGATGCGGAGGTGGAGGGGCTGAGGGAGAGGGTGGGCGAGCTGGTGGATGGCCTCGAAAGGGAGAGGGTGGCTTTGAGCGACGTGAGCGGCGAGAGGGATGCGTTGAAGGTGGAGTGCGTGGGCTTGGTGGAGAAGGTGAGAAGGTATCTGGAAGGGAGCTTCGAGAGGTTGAAGTTGCAGAATGAGAAGTTGGTCAGGGAGAAAGAGAAAGGGGAGAGAGCAATCGAGGCGGCGATGAATAAAAAGAAAAAAAAAAAGAAAAAAGAAGAAGAAACCGAAAATTGATCCGAACCAAACCGAATCAAATCGAACCAAATCGATTTTCCGGTTCGGTTCCAATTTGGTTCGAGCGAGTTTCGGGTCGATTCAAGGGGACGCCCTTAATGGTTCGGTTCGGTTCGATTTTTCAAGAAAACCGAACTGAACTGAATCGTTTACACCCCTAATGCCAATGGTTGTCCCCATGATTAAACACAAATGGTGTAGTATAGAGAACTACCATACTGGTCATTTGACAGGTAGACCAGGGTACCGTGATGATGTAAATCTTTGAGCATGAATGCAGCTTCATTCTTTACTTACTCTCTCAGCGCAGGAGGCGTGAATACAGAAATCCTGTTCGGTTTTTGAACAACTTACGAAGGATATTGATACAGTAGGCAAGTCAAAATGAACTGGAGACTGGAGAAGCTAGAGAGACAAGCCCGTGCTAATGACAGTTGTTGAGGCTCTCTCGATCCATCATCAAAACAGCTTGAGATGTTTGTCCAGTAAGTTATATTATCACTGCAACCATGCATTGAGCTGTTGCAAATGGCCAAAGTAGAGCCGAAAGTCTACGAAGGATGAGCGCGAGAAGAAAGCTGAGCCTGTGAAAACAATTTCCGACAACAAAAATGTGGTACAAAGAGTAACTGCAATAAAAAAGACTCACTGGAATTGGATTGATCCAATTGAACAAAGTATAAGTATAGGGGAAAGGGCTTGCGAAACAAAAAGGAAGGACCCGCTCACAAGATGCCGGATCTAGTTACATAAGACACGACGACGGTGATGTCATCTAATTTGCCCCCGTGATACCGGAATCCAGCTTCTTGAGCAGAATCGGCAAATGGGGTCTGTCGGTATCTATCCAGTGCCCGTTGATGCGCGGCAGCAGCTATTTTTCGAGCTGTCGCTGGAGGATCCAAGCCAGATTTCACCGCCTCAACAACAAGGGCACTAACCTCTTCATCATACAAGTTGTCGAACAAACCATCTGTTCCAGCAACGATTCCATCTCCATCAGAAACAGGAATTCTGAAAACCTGCACGTATTTATTCGAGGTCAGAAAAATTAACCATCCCAGGATGCTACTGGACTATAAAAATACTATATGCCCAGAACACTACTGGACAGTTCAAGCAGCTTCTCTTTATATAACTGATGAAGCATAGAATGAGCACAAATGACCTCAAGCGCTAAGAACATAGACTTCGAGCCTGTTTTCTTGCAGTAATGGAACAAGACTGTATGTAACAGCTATTATGCTATAATATACTAAGAATGTAATTATTCTCAAACAGTTTGGTTTCATGAATGATTACCTAAGGAGAAAAGCATCAGAATTCCTAAAAATATCTCTTAATTCAGATTTGGGGGAATATAATAACTATCACTTAAATAGTCAATCATGATCATTTATGAGTTTAGCACTCTATATATATTATAAGATATATAATTTGATTCATTATAAATTGCAATTTATAATAAATTTCGATACTGATTAATAATTTAGTGTTGTTAGAGCGAGTGGGGAAAAGAGACCGTTATTTTGGCAATATCTGTGGCAGTAATAGCTATTACAGCTTTTGGTGATAGGGATTACACCGTAATACTTATTACTATAAGCAAACACTGCAATAGGCAGTTAACCCATAATACACTTGTGATGTAATAGCTACTCTTGCAACCAAACCTGCTGTTAGGGGTAAGGATTTGAAATTAAAAAAATAAAATTCAAAGAGCTTCTATAGTAAAGCACATGGGATCACTTTCTAAGTTGTCCTAGATCTCAAAAGTTGAATTCAACAGAAATCACCTTAAAACTGTAATCTAGTTAGCACTTAATTCAGAAAAATAAAATCATGCCGAATAAAGCACAGCCGAAAGCAGAACTAGCAACAGAAGCTAAGAGAAGCTTTCTTGCAAGAATAGTAGAACAGTAATAGAACTGCAACCCCACTGTTATAGATACAAACTATTCTGCTTATGGTTATCATGACTATACACACCTGACCAGAACTGGGTAGGTCGCCGTTGCTACCATTTTCCAGTTGATATGTAAAGTTGAAACCGTGCTGCTGCACTGGGGATCTGAAGATAGTGCGCCCATCTCTAACCACTATGAATCCACTGTCGCCCAAATTGATAGCATGTAATCCCTGACGGATGAAGAAGAACTATGTGAGATTAGTTGTTGCTGTTTCTGGGGGCCATAGAAGGAAAAAAAATTGAGCTGAACGGAAGTTTTTTTCATCTATGAGCACATCTATACAGAAAAGGAGGACAGTTTATAGGGACCAAAAAACCTTGCCTGCTTACAGTTAAGCTAGATGTAAAAATTTGCTTCAGTAGGCACGGATGATAACTGAACAAGGTCCAAAATGATTGAATGCATATAATCATTTTCGGTTTGACCTTCAAAAGTTCTCCTCACAGTTTCAAAGCTATATTGTTTGGATACATATGATCTGTGTCAGAGTCTTAGAATTTATTGAGCTAAAGAAATTCTTTCTAGCTCAAGACACAATTAAGCATTAATTCTGAAATAAGGGTCCAAGAGCACTTAGAATATCGACACTTTTTTTGCCTAAATAGCTAATTCTCAAACTTATGTCATCAAAGTTAAGAAACCCTCCAACATGCATACATCTATGCAACCTTTATGAAAATCTAGGATTTCAAGATTTCTGGGACAAAGAAGTAAAAGGCTGTACTAAGTCTCATTAAGCCAACAATAGGATTACAAGAAAAGAACAAAAAATTCGAAATTCTGACATCAGGCTCACTTTTTTGCTTGGAGTCCATATTAGTTAGTTTTCTAGATGAGAGCTTTTGATCCTTACAAAATCGTTAGATCCTCATTGCTTGTTCAGACGTGAAGAATAGACTGATGATAAACCGAGATACCTCCAGCAACCTCCGGCACAGTCAAGGTAAGTTCCGACTTCAGTAACATAAACCAAACATGCCATTCACTGAGACTTTTCTCAGTCAAAGTTGAGAGCAGATTACAGAATACGTTTAACTAACATTACATAGAGGAAATACAACAAAATGGTCTGGCACATAGAAGAAGAAAAGAGAAAGAAACAAACCTCTTCTTTGAGGGCAATTATGCAGGCAGTCGAGGAACCTTTGGCTTTGGTATTCGCGTGAGCCTTCTCTAATATGATTGCCGGGTCAACAGAACCCTCAGTCTCCTCTTTTATTGCATTAACTGAATTAAACATAAGTTCCCGAGAATACAGCCCTGCATCAACACCAACATCTGCCCAACCACCTACACCATCTGCTACACCAATCACTTGCTCGTCTTCACATATAAAGTGAGCATCCTCTCCACCTTTGTGTTCCTTATCGGGATGTGGCAGGCAACATGATCCAGATAGCAGCTTCAAAGCTCTGTCACCTGGAAGAGTTCTGAAAATCAACACAAACCAAAGCATGTACGTTTAGACAAACCTATAAGCCAGTCTTCCAAATGAAGTATCAAAACAGAAAATTACTACTATTGGATCAATTCCCTAACATGTAGGCAGGCATTTTTTCTCTCAAACATATCATATTGATCGTTCTCTTGTGAAAGAGCAATTATAAACGTTAGCCTGTCCAGTAAATAAGCAAAGTTCTCCAGACCCGTCTATTAATCACTTAAAAATTATTTAGTATGAAATTTCCTCATGAAGGAGGATAATTAATTTTGACAATGCTAAAAAGGAAGTCTATAATTCGGAAATATGAGAGAACGTACTGGCCAACTGAAGTTGTGGAAGTTGCAAGATCGCTGCTTGGATTGCCCTCGAACGAGATATCCTCAGCTGCCCCATCATTGTAACATGCAACCAGAGAAGTTCGGAAATCTCTATATTGGGGACCAACAGACGGGGTGGAGATGCAAGTTGTCCAAGCTTCTTGATATCTTGAATATCCACATACCAAGTGACCATTAGAAGGCTCTCGCCTTGTCAAGCTCACACTAGCTCTCCGGAAACTCCTATGGCTCCGATCAAAGAAAAAGACACTGGAGGGTTTAGTAAAGTCAACTGTGTTCCCGCCGCTGGAAAGTAAGCCATCCATGTAAACATCTCCAGAGACAGCTTTGGAACCAGAAGCAGCCATTGAAATTCTCCTCTGCACACGGCTTGGAGAATGAACCACTTCAGTTGACAAAACAGTAGAGCGTGGACACTGGAGTAGCAGGTTTGCAGAGTTTTGCAACTGCCGCCCTGCTAATGCTCTTCGGAAACCACAAAACGCGGTAGTATTGAGCCTCGACAGAGCTGTAGATGGCATCCTAGCCCCTTATACAGGATACCCTCGAATTAATTTCCCTCCAAGACAAAACCATGCTCGGATCGCGAACCTGAAGACCAGATATCATCACCGCAGGTTCTCGAATCCCAACCCGAGCCTCTCGGCGGCATCAAGAGCCCACAGCCTCTGAAATTCATCGACAACAGCAAACACATTTCAAATCGCAACCCGAACAATACGGCTGACCCTAGATTCCTCCATACATCCTCACATGCAGATTCTTCAGACAACAAATTTCACCCAATACACAAAATTCACCCTTTCCATTTTCAATCGAAACCCAATGAATAATACATTGAGTCATGCAGCAGAACCCGTCGGGCTGCCTAGAACTAGGAAGTTTCCTAAAAACTCCTCGAGCAACGACCCTTCTCTCTCTACATCCACATCGTCCGAAAGACGAGAGTCCACGGACCTAAACCAAACCCTGAGCAGACACCCCAAGCCAAAACACATCCAAAGAACGCGCAGCAACCGCGGAGGGAAAAACCCAGAAAACCAAGAAAGCCCACGAAATCACCCGACCGAAAAAAAAAAAGAAAAAAACACGACAGAACGAAAACACCGGCGGCGAAACTGAAAATGGGTACCTCCTCAAACGTCAACCGGGAGCTCCGAATCTCTCCGTCCCCGTCTCCCCTTCGGACAGTACCAGTTGTGTTTGGCATCGAACTTATCTACGTCGCCGCTCTTCAAGAAGAGGAGAGAGGAAACCCAAGACGCACCGGCACCAGGGCGCGCACGTGAGATCCAAGGGGCAAAAGCCAAAATTTGCCGTTCAAAAACTCCGAATCCTTCCTTTCCAATCGAGGACCGGCCAATCTCTTTCGGACCCAAATGCCCCCGTCACCCACCCACCCACCCCCATGCGCACGGGGGTGGTGAAGGGCAGCGTCGGGATTTCGCCCGCCCCGCCCCGCCCCGCCATCTGGAGTTTAGGTGGGAAATGCGGATTGATTGTGTAAGGCACGTAGTTCTTGGTATGAAGCTGTCTCTCATGTGGCTACAAAAAAAGAATTTTCCTCCCTTTTTTTCCTTTTTAAAATTAATTAATTTCCTCTTCTTTTTTTGAGACTCTTGAAGGTTTGGTGGGGGTCCCACAATTCGATTAGGCTACGTTTGGTAGTCAGGATAAAATTCAGGATATGATAAATTTTATCCTATCCCATGTTTGGTGTCTGCTCAAGATAAAATAAAGTTGGATATAAGAGGGATATAGCCTGGATAAAATTATCCCATGGGGGAGATGGGATAAAGGTGGATAAAATTTCTAAGATCTATAATATAAAAGTTATTTTTCTCGTATAACAAACTTGTTAAATTAATAAAATTAAAATAATATTTGAATGTAAATAATATTTGAATTTTAATATAAAAAACTCGAAATAACAATAAATTCATTTTTATTTTTATTTATATATTCAAATTTCTTTCTATCTTATGATATAAATTTCATATATATATATATATATACACACACATTTAGTATTTATATTTATTACATATTTTAGGCATATTTGACAAATATTATTTGTATAGTTTACTATTCAATAAATTTTTATTTGAGAATGATGGAAGGGCAAGAAATAAAAAAGAAAATAATTAAAAAAGAGGGGGAAAAATAATAAATAAATATGAAATAGGTAAGAGTGTTGTGAGAAATTTTTATCATCTCTGTTTGTGCAATTTTTAGGTTACACTGATATAACGTTCATAGCAAATAATGGACATGGTACTATATGAAAATATCCGGCTTTATTACTGCGATTCACCAAACAGTAGATAGGATATAGCAAATCCTTTGGATTTCATATCATATCCTATCCAATCCTATCCTGAATAAAAATTCGGACGACCAAACGCAGCCTTAGGGTTTCTTGAACATGTGAAAGGTGGTGAGCCAACATTTAGGTGGACACAACCATGAATTTGTTAGAACCAACAACACTAGTGGTGCTTTGCCAGGGGGTTCATTTTGCATGTACGAAAAGGCGAGCACGTCGAAACAAAACGATGTTATATGAAACGGAACGAAGATGGAAGGAATCTTTGCCCTAAAGAAAAGGGAACCGATAAAGATTTCGATCTTGAACTTTTGTCGAGAAGTCTTGTGAAATATCTGCATCTTTTGTCGACAAACTTAATGATTCGCATGGCTCAACAGAACGGATAGATTCGCAATATGGAAAGTTAAAAGATGTCCGTCGAGGCTTTAGTGTAACTTATAGCCCGATGTGGTCTTGGATCGGTCAACTGCTTGTGTTAGGGCCTGTTTGGTTCAACTTTGAAAATGCTACTTGGGGGAATGCAAATACCTTTGGGTGAAAGCCCAATGGGGAAATGCAAATGGTGTTTGGTAAAAATATTTTGTAAAGCTACTTTGGCAAAAATATAGTGTTTGGTGAATTTTTTTTGCAAATGGACTTTGAGAATTATCTTATTTATTAAAAAAAAAAACAAAACCTACCCATTGCCGGAGCCGACTGCCGGCGGCCGTCGCCCGAGGTCGGGCGACCCCCAGCGAGCCAGATCCGCCGCCGCCGGCGGTCGCCCGAGGCCAGATGACCCTCGGCGGGGTCGCACGACCCAAGCGACGGCCGCTTGGGTCGCGCGACCCGAGCGGCGGCCATTTGAGGTCGCGCGACCCGGGCGACCATCGCACGGGTCGTGCGACCTCGCCGAGGGTCGCCTGGCCTCGGGCGACCGCCGGCGGCGGCGGATCTGGCTCGCTGGGGGTCGCCCGACCCCAGGCGACCTCGCCGGCCCTTCTCCCTTGCCGGCCCTTCTGGTGAAGAAGATGAACAGCTTCAAGCCCCAAAAAAAAAAATGTGAACAGTAGCATTCGGGAATGCTGAAAGCCGAAGGTTGATCCGGACCAGCATTGGGCTTTCAGCATTTGGAATGCTAGCATTTGGCCAATACTAGGCTAAATGCTGAATTAAACACTCCAGCATTTTGGGAAGGGGCTTTCGAGGCCCAAAGCCCCTTCCCAAAGTTGAACCAAACACCCCCAGTCCTTTTAACAAGAAGTCTTTCCTCCCCTTCTTAAGAGCTAATTCCCTAAAAAATCGTCAACTTTAGATCCAATCTCAATTTTGTTCTCAACTTTTCTTTGTCTAAAGAAAGATCCTCGACTTTTGCTCTAGTCCCAAATCTACCAACGTATCCAAAAATCACCATCAATTTCTTCAAGATTATCAGCATCAGGAGGGCTGTTGTTATTCCATACAAATGTGTCGGTTTTGATAAAGATGCATGCTCTGATAATGGATCCCTAACTAACCTTTATGTTGGTAATTTCAAAGAAATCAGCAGCAATTCTTTGACGTGCGGGCGGATTCGGGAATAAAGTAAAAATCGAAAGATTTCTTTCAGACAAAAAAAAAAGAGCTCGGGGCAGAATTGAGATCGGACCTAAAGTTCGAGATTACTTTTTAAGGAACTGGGCCCATTCGCTAGAGCATATGGGCCCAATTTCAAAGCCCATTCGCCGGGCTCTGGAAACGGGCTTTCCGGGCCCATCTATGTCCCCAGATTTTCGGAATCATAAGAGAGACTCTCTCCCTCCCTCTCTCTCTCTCTCTCTCTAGAGCACGCCAAAAACCCACATAAAACCCTTATTATATCTTCCTTCCTTCCTTCTCCTCCCACACGTACAGAGAAAATCACCGACTCTTGCGCGCGCGCAGGGAAGGGAAGGGAGGGGAGGGAGATGGACCTCGACGACGATCTCGACGACCTCGGCAATCCCGCCCCGGCCCCCGCCCCGTCCCGAGCCACCAAGTTCGCTCCCAAGTTCGCTCCCAAGTCCTCCAAGGCACCGCTCAGGCCCAAGCCGAAGCTCGAGGACCCGGCGCCGGCGCCGGCGACGGAGCCGCGGCGAGCCGATGCTCCGATCCCGAGCAAGAAGGAGGAAGGAGATGAAGAAGACGGGGAAGGGAAGGATTTGAAGCCGCCGGTCGGTGTCGCGGCGGCGGCGGCGCGGGAGGAGTCGGAGCCGGAGCCGTCGACCTCGAACGGGGTTGCGCCAATGGAAGCGGACCGCAAGCCGGAGGAGGAGGAGGAGGAGGAGGATCAGCAGGAGGAAGCGGTGCCGATGGACGCGGACGGCGGCGGCGGCGTGGGCGACGAGGTCGTGCGCGAGATCGACGTCTACTTCAATCCTTCCATCGGCGCCAGCGCTCAGGTTGTTCTCGTCTTCGAGTCGAGGTTTTTCCCGGGGAGTTTCTTTTTCCTGGAATTAGGATAATCTGTTTGCCGGTTAATTCTCATCGCTTTGTGCTGTGAGGCTTGCGGAGGAGGATCTGAGGAGTGAATTCTCGTTTTCGTTTTCAGTTGTACGTGATGCAGTATCCGCTGAGACCGTCGTGGCGGCCGTACGAAATGGACGAGCGTTGCGAGGAGGTAAGCGACTTGATTTTGTGATTGGCTAGCTTTGTTTTGCGCTGAAACTTTTGGGAGGAAAGAAGGTTTTTGTGTCTTGAATCTGCCTTTTTGTTACGTAGGTCAGGGTGAAATCGGGCGGTTCCGAAATCGAAGTCGATTTGTCCATTGACGTGGACTCCAAGAATTATGACGGCGAATGCAGTAGCAGATTAATGATGACAAAGCAGGTTTGATCTTTATTTCAGGTTCCAGTGTCTGAGTAGCGAATTCTTAATGTGTGTCGTTTCTGCCTTAAGATAATGCGATACGGCTGTTTGAATTTTGTCATTTTAGGTATAATTTTTGGCTCCATATTATTTAATTTGTGAGGGAAATATCGGTATGACCACTTAAAAGGCTCGTAGATGCAGAATCTAGGTTTCCTTAAGAGGGTCGTCAAAAGATGTAATACTGAAATATTTGGCAGGGAGAAATTTTCGCTCACAAGCTTTTATGAGCCTCAGTAATTTGCTTGATTATGTCGATTTCTCTTTTCGCTCGGCCTTTTCCTTTTCCTTTTTGTTTTGCTTCGTTTCCCTTCATTTTGTGCTCTGCTTCTGCCTTTCAATCGATAGATGTTTTGGATGTTCCCATCCATGTGTCTGGTTTTGTATCTGTTTGGATAAGTTCAGTGACACTCTAATGATTCGGTATTTAATATCTCTCTTTAGACTTTGTCATCTTCATGGAGGCCACCCTGTGCAACTGGCTATGCTGTTGGTGTTTTGATGGACAACAAGGTATTTGCATATCCTGACTTCCACTGTAGTGCTTTTTGAAAATGTTTTTTCGTTAGCTACTGAAAATTCAGTTGTCATATGAGCTGCTATAATGGAGTGGCAAATAACTGCAAATGCTCACTGGAGAGAAGCTTTGTGTCATGGCATGGTTTAGTCTGAGATGGAAGTTCAGCCATGATCTCTAATCCTTTTGCACAGCTTTCATACGGCAATAGATATATGGGGAGGAAGTCAATTAGAATCATGTTGGCTGATGGAATCGGTTTATTGAAAAGCTAAAACGCTTTTCTTCGTATCAGACCTTTGGAGGAGAATCTGTGTTATTGGTTTCTCAATTAGACAGATTGCAGATTCTATATAATGGTAATGTGCGAGGCTTAAACATTAAAATATCTCTTTCAGCAAAAGTGAGATTGGCAAATTGTTGCTTGTATTATTGACTTAGATTGAAGGAATCGGTGTTCAAGGTTCTAGTTCTAACGTCATTTCAGCTGCCCCTTTTTCTCTTAATTTCCAGTGCTTTGAAATATCAAGTAAATGGGTAATTTGGTGCTTTTCATTCTTTGTGTGATTTAAGAGTTATCTTATGACATATGCTTGAATTTTGTTTAACGTTTAACCTTGAATGACTTGAAGTGTTGAAGGATACAATATGTCAGTTATCTCTCCTATTTATGATGGAGATATGAGAAGAGTTTAAGATGGTTTTTCCCCATGAACTGGAGTGATTATTTTTTCCCTCGGTGATCATTAAACTAAAGCCATGTTTTGACTGTAAAAGGGCAGTTTGTTTGCACATGCCATGGATGCTGGTACTTCAAATTTCCCGCCTTTTAGGTGAAAATGCTCTTAACTTTGTGGCTGAATTAGCAAGAACCGACATAACAGCCAATAATGCTTTTGTGCTGTATTATTCTTACAGCTTGGTCATTTGCCTTTTAGGAGTTATTTTAGGCCATGTCTTCCATTTCATCTTGCAGCTATACTTGAACCCTGTACATGCAGTGGTACAGCTTCGACCGTCGATGGCCCATCTTACTTCTGATTCCTCAAAGAAGAACTATGTCAAGGGCGAAAATGAAGTCAGTGTTAAAGCAGAAGAATCGAACGAAGAAAAATCTGCCGGTTCATCTAAGAAGCAGGTTATGTTTCCATTTGATCCTCTTCCTTTTTCCCTTTTAGTGTAGCTTTTTATTCTGGACTAGGCTTTTCAACCTTATGATATGCCAAACCCGGTGCAACATTACAATATATTCTATGCATTAGAAAAACCCGCACTAAAGGAGAAAGCAACATTTTTCGTATCCAGGAAGGCTCACTATATTTTCTAATTACGGTGGTAACAATGTTATAGAAATTTAGTGAGCGGCCGAAATAGAAAAATGAGAGTTTTGCACTTTTCTGTCAATTAATATGTACCTCACAGTGGAGTTTCATTCTAATGTGATGCATGGCTGTGCTGAAATGTGTGCTTATGTGCGTGTACAAAATCATAGATGTAGAGATACATACATACGTTGTTGCTTGTGTCTGTGATTTGCAGACACTTTGTTTTTCCTTTTTTCGTTATCTCATTTATTTTACAGTTCATTATGCATCTGTCTACCCTTTTGTGGTTGCTGATTGCGTAGCTATAGGACCGGGAGCAGTAATCAATGTTATAATTCCTCATTGTGTATATCTCTATGGCAGGCCAAAAAAATGGCATCTTCTGCTGAACAAGAGTTAGAGAATGATGAGGTATGTGACCCTTAATCATACACGCCAGAATGCTGATTATGCAGCATTTATTGGTTTGAAGCAGATAATCACGTTTCGTTTAATATATTGCCTTTTGTCATGAAGATAAATTCCCTTTATGACATTGTCTCTGATGCTCCATCTCTTTTTTTTTTGCTCTATACTTATATGAATACTAAATGGGGCACCAAGTGAACTGGCATAGGCCATGCAGATAAACTTTACAATCCCTCTTGACTTAATTGTATTCTCCTAGACATATTCCTATTGTACATAAATTTGATGCATAGCTAGATTAGTTTGTGGAAAGATAACATGCTGGAGACACCAGCGACTTAGATTTTGAATTTTGGCAACTTCAGCGGGATCAGAAGAAATTTTACATTCTGTATCCAAGGATATGTGAAAAATATATTAAGACAGAAAGTATTTAGAAATCCGAGACTAGTATCATGCTTGGCATTCTGTTCACTTATATTCAATAAATATGTTATCTATAGATTCAAGCTGTTTTTTCCTTAAATTCCACAAGTTTTTACTAAATAGGTCTAGTACTGACGGACAGATGTTCCTCTAGAATAATCAAATGTAAAACAAATGTACACTACTTTTGATTTTCTCATCATGGATTTGGTTTTGAACTGAAGAAATCTTTAGTTGTTTATTTGATTAAGGGGTGTCGATGGGGGTTGACTGTTATTCTTCTAAATGTTGGATCTTTTCAGCTCTGGATTCAATTGGAGTACCATAGCTCAAAGAGTGATCTATCAACCCATTATCTACACGGAATGACGGCAGAAGAAAATTCTCCTATTCTTTTCGCAATGAATCCGTGTGTACCATTCTCTGAAACCAAAATCTGTTTTCTCTCGCTACTTAAATGTAGTACTGCAACTCGTTTCAAATCACAAAGTGTCTGGTTATATTTTACCTCACGTACTCCTAAGTCCTGAATTATTGTATTCCTTTGCAGGTGTGATTATGTTGATTTATTATGTCCAGGAGTGCACAAGCAGAACCTCAAAACAAATGGTGCTTCGAGAAGGTAGGGTTGTTCTCTATTCCTCCAAGGTTGTCATGATCGGGATTCTACATAGGATTGTTTTGAGGTCTGTGGAGATTGTTTCGTAAGATTGGATTGAGGATTGTAAAATCCTACATTTTTTTTTTGTCAAATCGAGGCCTAAAATCTGAAATTTACATATTTTTTTATGCAATTACATACTTGTTAATACCAAATAAGAGGGAGTAAAGCTACAAAATTAGACCTCTAACTTGTGAGGAGGTGAACGTGCGAAGTTTCGCATCATCATTTGTTTTATTAATATCCAACTTACGCAAGAAATAGCATTCTGGTATATTTTTTGAAAACAAGCATGCCATTTAGAAATTTAAATGACTATTCTTCCTTATTTTCTTCACAATTAATAAAGCTCCAAAGTAATAACTTGCCAAAGCTTCTGGCTCTGTTATTAGAAGTGTCCTTCCTTTTTCACTAATTTGCTATTCTAACTAGACATTTTGCATTATTAATGTTCAACTTAAGCAAAACATAGCATCCTGGCATATATATGTCATTTAGAAATTTAAATGACTATTCTTCTTTATTTTCTTTAAAATTAATAAAGCTCCAAAATATTAACCTGCCAAAGCTTCTGGTTCTGTTATTAGAATCGTTTCCTTAGTAAGTCGCTATTCTAACTAGTCATTTTGGGCCTGTCTTGATAGGCTTTTACTTTTTGCTCAATATAAATCTTGCAATGGACACACTATGACTTTTCTTAAATCATAGCATTTGAAACGTAAACAACATACAAATTTTGGCACTTATCCTTTTTTTTTTCTGCCTATAGAGATTATTTAATGGATTCAACTATTTCCTTTTCTTGCTTAACTTTCTTTTTCTTAAGATTAGCAACGTAAAGATGATATTCATTTTTTTTGCTGTCTCCTGAATTTATTTATTGGATTCAACTATTCCTTTTTGTTTTTAAACTTTTTTTTGAATGTCGATAAAACTTGTAATGTCATAACTGATTGTTGTGGGAACCAAGGTCTTGTGTTTGTCTTAATTGTTGCTGAACATCCCATGCGCTTGTCTATGGGGTTTCAATGGGTGTTATATTCAGGTACTCTTCCTCTACTAATTGGCTTAAGATTTTTGGTTGGACTTTCTAACATTGTATCAAAGAGCCAAGTACGGACCTATTTTATTTCTATTTGAGCTCACAATTCGTCAATTCCACAAGCCTTTCCTTGTTTGGTTTGAATGTGAGAGGGGGTGTTGAGTATCCTACGTTGTGGGGTTTCACTTGGCCTGATATTCATGTAGTCTCCGTCCACCTGTCGACTTAAACTTTTTTGGGTTGGACTTTCTTAGAATTGTGCAACATTCTTGTACTTGATCTGCATAGACCGAGAAGATTGCAATTGTTCGATCCAGGATTAGCTTGTTATTCGTGCACATGACCTTCAAATTCATAATTATCCTTTTCAGGGCCCTATTGTCAACTCCACCGGATGAGAGAATTAGGATGATGCTTTGTCAGGTGTGTTGCCCCTTCACTTTTTTGTTCTATACACGCTTTGACGTGACAATGGCAGCAAGTAGATAAATGTCTCAGAATGGTGAATTCTGTTTTATCTTTGTATGAATGGCTATATTTTCCTTCATCCTAGTCGGAGGAAGGTTTCTGCAACCAGGCCTTTGATTGGTGATTAATAAGTGATGGACATTCTCCTGATACAAGCTTGACTACTCATAAATATAGGTGATATCCCTGTTTGTGACTCATCAATCAAATGATTAGTTGGATCAGGGAATACGGATTAATGGCCCTCCTCTAAATGCTTTCTATTTGTTGTAGGGTTTTTTGGGGTGAGGACTAAATGGATGTCATTTCATATGATATATCTATATTTTTCTTTCACATGTCAAACTGAAATTCGCTTTTTCTCTAGGGTCCTGAAGTGCATCGTTACAGTGCTCTAAGGTACAACGTTCCTGATGTTTCCGATGATGTCTTCCTGAGCGAATTACAGCGTAATGCTCTGTTGGTGCAAGGATGTTGGGTTCCCAAGACTGCATTGATATTACAAAGACCTTCTACTGAATCTCTGGTTAAAGGTTATCGCCTCGATGTGTGGGCTAGAGATTATACCCTTCTTAAGTTCAACAAGAAGCCTGTGGTTCACATCTCAGAACTACCTGTTAAGAAAATACTTGCTGATGCCATTAAAAAGTTCCTGATTGTCTTCGCCACTGAAAGGTCTTCCTTACGTGATTGGAAGTTTAAGCAGGAAACTGATGTTTCATTTATGAAAAAATATCCAGATATTGTAAGCAAGCAAAAGCGAATCTGGGAGGGCATTGAGACAGAAATAATGAAATCCTTGACGAAACCTGAGCAAGGTGACAAAATTGGAAGAGGTCAGGATAATTCAAAGAATGCTCAAACCAAAGTTGCCATTGCTAGTAGGGCAGACAAACCTCCAAGTTCAGACAAAACATCCATAAAAGCTACAAGCAGAGTTGCCCCTGGCAGGAGAACTATGTCAAATGAAACCCTTGAAGCTTTGCCAAAGGCTTTGCTGAAAATCTTTCAGAGTCACAAGGTTTGCGAGTATGGATGAGTGATTTCCATCTCTTTCCCCATTTTCCTTTCTGCACTAGCTATCACATATCACTTACACTGAATCAGATGACGACAATTATAAAGAAAGCTAGGTGCTTTTACTGGTCAGCAATTTTGAATTCCTCCATATTCTGTGTGCCCACATTTACTTTTTTCCTTTTTTGACTTTGTTTATGTGCTTTTAGTTTGTGAAGGCAATAATTCTTTTCTGTTCTTCCTTTTTTTTAACTTTCCGTTTGGGAGGACTGTGGATAAGGGTGGTGTACAGTTTTGGATGGAATTAAATTCTTTTCTTTTTTTACATCTCAATTGGGTCATCAGTCTAATGACCAAGGGCGATGTGTTAAACAACAAATACCAATATGAAGTCCAAATGCATCGGCCCCCACCAGCCATTCTTCTGTCTTTGGTCCTTTTTCCTTCTATTTTTGTCCCCTAGCTCGTGATAACGTCATCATGATTTTTGGATTTAACTTCTTCTGGAGAAACGTTTGAAACTTACTTAATGGTTGCCTTAAGTGGTTTCTGTTTTGGTTCTGTCCCCTGCTTTAGTATCTAACAAGGTTGAGTCAGGCCTTTTAGTATGATAAATCACAGTTGAGTTTTAATGTACGTATATTGTCTAAAGCCATCTGGCTAACCTAGTTCGGGCCAAGTCTTTGTTTTGAAGATGTACCCATAAAATTTAGAAAATATGTTCCCTTTCTTAACATGGCTGGACTAGTCACTTCTGAGAAGAGTTGTTAGATGAATTTTACATGGCAATTTATCTGCAGTTGTTCCGAGTTTCCCCTAGAGACTCATTGACCATGGTGGAATCATCTTGTTTGCAGCTTTCAGTTTATTTGTCAACGTCTGCGGGGTTTGGCACTTTCTCAGGCCACTCTTCCCAAAGCGGATCCTAGAATGGAAAAAGCTGCAGCACTTGGGGTTGATGCCCCTCCAGATGAACTTAAGAAAGTTATTGCACAAGTTGCAGTAAACATTCATGAGCTTTATGTTTTGAAGTCATCCCCAGAGCACCCAGAACTTGATCCATTGAGGTAATTAATGCAATAGCCATGTTTTTTTATGTTCTTCTTCTGCGATAAAATCTATGAATTGTCCCTTTTGAGGTATGATTTTTTGGGATTGGCCTGATTTTCCAACAGTTTGTCTTTTTGGGACCAAGGGCTGCCATCTTTTAAGCTGCTGTTTGTTGTCTTGTTTTTGAAATTTTCCAGTCATCCTTGCAGGGAAGTTGTTATACACCTCCTGATAGGTAAAGGACCCAATGCAACACTTAAGAGGGCCGAAATATTTCAAGCTGCCAAGATGGCTCTGAAGAGAGACATTGCAAATGCTGAATATACAAAGGTCAGCTTTATAGATATAGCTTACAGAGGCTTCTCTTTTTCTGACAAAAATCTATTTACCTTGAAAATGGGACTTTCTTTTGATGAGAAGTTCCAAGGTCCTTGATTCTTATAAACTCGAGATATAGTTCTTCATTGGGCATAGACACAACCACAGGACAAAAAAGAACTTATAATTGAACAAAAAGCAAATTCAATTGTGCTTGATTTTTCCTTTTTCTAATATTGCTTTAATATACAGTATTGGCTAATCATATGATTGGCACGGAAGAGGCGAGAAAGCAGATTGATTTGAGCGAACTCTGGTTCTTTCTTTGCTTAACAGAAACTAAACTTTTTACAGGTCATGAATGATCTGTGTGAATCCAAGGGTTCTTTCTGGTTTCTGAAAAGCAGCAACGTATGATTTACATGATCAGAACAATCAAGTGATGCAAGACATGCTTCAGTGCCTGGCGGAGAGTCCACATGGCATATCATAAGTTACTGACAAGAGAAGGTGAATTTACTTTGGGCTGAACCATCAAATATCGAGAGTGAAGTATCGCGATTTTGACCTAGTATTTTGTGGAGACGAGAAGACACAGAAGAGTTAAATCTCACTATTGAATACGATGACTCTCTTATGCATACGAGGGAAAATCGACAATTGGTATAGCGGTATTGGTGTCTAATTAATTCCGACTTCTGTTTCTTGTCTTGCTCTTGCGGCATTTTGAAGCTCTTGTGAGGTATTTTCCTGTAATTGCTTGTCATCCACCTTGAGGCGCTTATGGGCTGCACGAAATCTAAAGAACAAGTGAAGATGAGGGCAAAGTTGGGTTCGTCTTGCTAGCTTAGAGCGGTTTTATTTGCATGTACTGTCTCGCTTGAATCCGATGCTCTTTCTTCTGATCACAGAAATATTCGGAAGCATCGCTGCGAGGCTCACATAAGGTCAATTCTCTTTATTCGCAACTTTTTAACCATAATCGGTGCAGCGTTGGTAGCCTTAGGTGTAAATCATCTAAAAATTGCATGTGAACGAGAAGATGGAGTATGGATCCGGAATGGAAGAACTTCCACTATGGTCTTTAACCATGCGTTACTAGCTAACCTGAGCGGGTCAAGTATGTCTTGCTGCCTCTTGTGATCATATATTCCATGTTCTCGCTTTGCTTCGAAAGAGCGGGAGCAAATTTTGTGATTACCCAATTGCAGAGTTTGGTAAATTATTGTTCTACAACACACATGAACGTGTATAAATTTAGTAAAAACTAAATTGAAGTAGGGTTTTTCTTTTTGTTTTTCGGTCGAAAGATAAATATATTTTGATTTGGAGTACTTGTTGTAACTTCCGCTCATTGATAGTATATCACATTGTAGTTCGTAGCAAGTGTCACATGTTAATGAAAAGATAGTCAATGATGCGCAATTTCATTTACAATTAGACTGTAAATGGCAGAACTTAGGGTACAACGGGAAATATGATAAACACGGCTTCATTTGACACTTGAAGAGAATGGCAGAACTTAGGGTAAATCGGGAAACATGATAAACATACTTATATCCAAATTGCTGTCGCGCTCTGGTCCCTACTAGGATTAAAGAGAATGGCATGGCCGCCCTCCGATAAATAAAAGGAGAAGCCCTAAAACTACTCAACTTAATTGTGTCGAAATGGCAATTAGATGTAACTCTTACTGCAAAGTAATAGTCACCAGAAATACCAGATTTTCATGTAACAAATAATTTCAATGTACCTAACATTGCTATAAATTAACAAACAAAGAATCATATTCTCGAACCAACCCCGTGTACTCTTGTTAATGTAACAATCACTAATCCTTAGCCTCAGATTAGGAAAGGTTGAAAGGGGGGGGGGGGGGGGGGGAGTGGGTTGTGGTTTTCACTGCAAGTGGTTAATAACACTTCTATGGGATCAAGTTATGAATGACACGATCTTAAGATAGAAATGTATTCACATCAAACAAGTGGTAGAATAACCTCATGCAGAATATCAATATATTACATAATAAATAAGAGCCAACTTGAACTAAAACTCAATTACCCACGTCAAGAACCCTTGGAGTCATCCTTCGTCAAGTGACAAGACCCAAAAAACCATATCGAATCATATTTCCTGAAGGATTTTCTTTCCTTTTTTTCGAAAAATAAAACGTTATTTTGTCTGTCGTTGATTTGTTTTGTGTGTGGACGTCGACATTGTATGACTTGAAAAGCTGGCGACAAAGGGTTAAGAATCTGGCCAAACTAGTCAACTGCAATTATTGTCACTTGTCCTTTTCGAGTCAGTGACACTTGGAGACTTGTACACATTTTTTTTTTCCTTTTCGAGTTATGACAATAATCAAATCATATCTAACTGGGGACTTTCTCCTTTCTTTGGGCCAGAACAAGAGGCAGTAGAATCGAAGAGCTGTCTTTCTACGTAAACTCCAAAAAGAGGGAAACGCTTTCTGAATATTCAAATATGAGAAGGTTCTTGACCAAAAAAAAAAATATATATGAGAAGGTTGGAAGAATCAAAATTCACTTCTCTTCTGACTTCATTTAGGTAAAAAGAGACGGAAAGATAAAGAATCACAATTCGTGGGTCGTCCCCAGTCGCAGCACAGCACAGATGCCGACTTCATTTAGGTAAAAAGAGATGAAAAGTCTAGTGACATTGCACGTGTAAAACATCTATCCCATGGATTCGTACATGAATTTTATAAATCTAATCATTAGTGTGAAACCAAGAAGAAGTCAGCATTGGCACAATCTTAAAGCAAATCGATTGCATATTTAACAAGAGTCTGTACTCATGGCCGGCCCTGAAAGAAGGAGCAGGTTGGGTAATTCGAACTCTGAACTTGAGCAAGGGGCCTGAACACGCTTATCACATGAGCTGCTCTTTGCGGTTGATCTTAAGCTAAAGTATTGCGTATGCAACCCTACTTCATCCTTGAACGTTCTCGCTTTACTTTTCTTTCTCACAATCAATCTCGAAAGAGTTGATACTTTATCTCGACATAACATTTCTTTGTCACGCCCAATTAATAGATCAAAATGCTCACTGTTATACCACCTCAATTCAGTGTATGCCCCTTTTCTATGCCAAAACACATGATTTGCAAGGTGCTGATTGAAGAAAAAGCTTGTCTACTCTCAGTCTACGATGTACATATCAATACTAGATTCATCGTCTGTTCATAGCCATCACCACCATGCACTAGGACTCCAAGAGCTGCCACTGGAAGACAAGATATCACAAGGTCTATATCATCGAGGCACGCCACTTAGCTTTCATTTTCCATATAATTGATCTAAACCTGCGTATGGCCGAGTTGGTGGGCGCTTTCCTTCCCTCCTTAGAGGTTCTGGGTTCGAATCCCCGCTCAGTTCCGTAATTTAAGTGGGGGGCCCTGGCGGTGGGTTGCTGGGCTAATCTCTCCCGAGGTATAGGCGCCCCGATTACCCGTGCGGGCTCGTCCCCGGGGAATGGTGGCGGATCTTCGGTTACCAAAAAAAAAAAAAAAAACTTTATCATTAGTAGACAGGAAAATCAATTCACTAATATGAGCCTCAGATATACCCATCAATACTAGATTCACTGTTCGTTCATAATTTCCACCACCACCACTACCACCATGCGCCAGGATTCGAAGATCTGCCTTTTGGAAACTAAGATGTCACGATTCTGCATCATCAAGCAGGCCCCTTATCTGTTTCTCTGCAAATAATTCACCTAGACTTGTCATTTTATGTGGGATTTGGGGCCAACGGCAGAGACGTTTGGACCACTCACGGATCCTGAAATTGGCCATGCTCTTAGGGGTCCTTCATTTGATGGAGAGCTTACCATCTTCTCTTGTTGAGCCACGACAATGCCCACTTGAAGCATGGGGTTAATGTAACCTTAGGCCACCTTTTGACTCTTCTCCAGTACATTGGAATGGACCAACAACAACGAGAGTGACTAATTGTTTTGTCGGAATTACAATAGTACTTATCTACAAGAAGTTACAAAAATTCCACAATAGCATCTATTATCTAGTAACACTTATCTAAAAGAAGTTACATATCTGAAAATATGGCTATTCGGTAGTGACATTTCGATGTCGATGACTTTATCCCCATTAAAGGTTCTCATCAATTGTTATGTTTGCTATTGATAACTTTCTTGGCAAGTTGTCAATTATTTTCAAGATATCGATTGTTCTTTTCATCGACGACTTCTATTGTTTACCAAACTCTGCTATTATCAACTAAGTCTGTTACTTTTTGATTATAACTAATAGTTCGTCATTTTGGGTGTTAACACTAATCAAGTAATGTAACCGTACACATGGAAATAACAAGACCGACTTATGAAAATGGTGTGACGGAATCCAACTCGATATCGAAATAAGTAGACTGTACTCTGCATCCAGTAATTAGATGTTATTCAATCTTTTCACTTTACATTATTAATGAATAAGATTAAATTTTCATGACAATTAAATGTTGTCACTAAATTAATTGTTTTGGACCAAGATTGTGCGGAAGGGTAGCCACCCCAAAGGTAGGAGTTAAACTTGCTATCCTAATTAATCACTTTGTTTTAATCCATAACTTTTCAGAGTTCGTGGATTGGAGGTTTCCAAAGTTCAAGAATGCATTATAACTTTCCGGAGTTCAGCACCTATATTATGTAACGGTGCCAAAGCTTATGGGGTTTATTGAGCAATTATCCTTTTACTTTCATTTAATAATCCAAGGACACGATTACAATGACGCAGTTACCTGACATGAAACATCATGCGAGCTTCATGTCCTGGTTAAGTCCAAGCTCTTTAATATCTGCAAAAAAGTTTAAGCATAATTGGTCAGATTTTAACATATAAACTTCAGTTTCTCAGCTGGAAATCTCTTGACGCTCAAGCTAATCGTGCCATTCTAAGGGTTTACTTATTTTGCCTTGAATAAGATCAAATTGAAATCGCCAAAGCTATTGACATAATACAACTTTTACTATTAGCAGGTGAATTCATTCCTGAAATAGGTCGATATTTCCGTTTCGTGACCGTTCGCTAGAAAAAACAATCGGTATAGTAACGAATTATTCAGACCCTTTAATTAATTTTTGGCGGGCATGAAATTCAAGCCCCGCAAGTTGGCTTAAAGCAAATTTTTTCCAGCCGACAAAAGTCATTATACAATTCGCACCTACTCGAGATTGGTAAGCCTATGTTAATCCTAACCCTAATGATCCGGATCAAGGTTGTCAGGATCGTCCCGTCGTGTACTTAGCAGCACCTTGATTTGGTCGGCACCCCCTTTTCTGCACTAATCATTTGGGATTATAAAGATGAAATCATCTCCCACAGAGAGTTAACTGCTTAGCTGTCCCTTAATTAGGGGGGAAGAGGTTATCCTGGTAACATACGACCGAGTCAAAGGCGCCACGTCAGCGGAGAGGAATATCTTTTTTTTTTTTTTTGGTCGCACGCGGAGAGGGATGTCGGCCAGAAGATTTCGTCGGCCGGGTACGCAGGTCAAAATTGTCCCCGTCCCCTTTCAACGTGTCCAATAAAGATTCACCGGCGATGGCGTGGCAAATTGCGATTCGAACTCGAGGATAATGGCCTCTAAAAAATTCCTTCAGATTGAAGGAGCTCGGTGTGTGACTCTGGTGCTGTGCTATAAAGGGTCAGCTGGGACTGCGATTGTTTAAGGAGCTTTCTTATAGAGAGAGAGAGAGAGAGAGAGAGAGAGAGAGAGAGAGAGAGAGAGAGAGAAGCACTAGTAGTAGTAGTAGTAGTAGTAGTAGTAGTGAGAGTAGTAAGCAGAAGGTTGTGATGATGAGCATGGAGAAGTTGGGAGATGGTGGTGGTGAGTCTGAGAAGCTTTCTGGGGTCAACAGATACGCCTGTGCTTGCGCCATCGTTGCCTCCATGGTCTCCATCATCTTTGGCTATGGTAATCTCTCTCTCTGTCTCTCTCTCTGTGGTCATCTTTTAAATTTGGTGGCATATCTCGTTTGCTTCTTGAGATCTTTACTCGAGCGAACAGCTTTGTAAAATATGAGACTACTTCTCTACTCCTTCTGTTTGAACGAAAATTTTCTACTGCGGTATAGAGGCCATGCACTCTGTACTTTCGCGTATACTGATCGTGTCCTCAAAGCCGAACCTCGAATCATCCAATGTTTCCTTTTGATAGAAAGTTAATGCGATCGGAATAGGTCTATTATGCCGACTAACATGTGAACTGATTTACCTTTACGTATATAGTGATTGTACAGAACCTCTTGTAGTTTCTTGTCAGGAAATATACGTATAATTTTTACTGAACGAGAAATTCTTGATTAACTTGAGGAAAATTGCGATGATCAATCACATCTAAACATTCAAAGATATAGCATGAAAGAACAACCTATTTTGATTATTGTTCCCAGGAGTGCACGTGCTCGTCGGCTAAATTTTTGTAACTCTATGTTTTAGAGATATATCATAGAAAATTAATAATTGATTTTGCTTGGCAATTTCTACTATAGGCTCCACAGGATTTTTAGCCTCAATTGATTTCGAATGAAGCCATGAAAAAGATCTGTTTTTCCTGATTTAGAGACACTCTTCTTGATTGTGTATGAGCATGCTATTCTTGGAATGAATTCTTGTTGTCCGTTCTTGTACTGATTTCACTTTCGATTCTGCAATTTCACTCCAGACACTGGTGTCATGAGTGGCGCCATGATTTTCATTAAAGAGGACCTCAAGATAAAAGACACGCGGGTCGCAATCCTGGCCGGAATCCTCAACATTTGTGCCCTTGTGGGCTCTCTCATCGCCGGAAGAACGTCTGACTACATCGGCCGCCGTTACACCATCGTTCTTGCCGCCGTCATCTTCTTACTCGGTTCAGTCATAATGGGCTATGGGCCATCCTATGCAATCTTGATGACGGGGCGGTGCATCGCCGGCATCGGGGTTGGCTTCGCCCTAATGATCGCGCCTGTGTACTCCGCAGAAATCTCCTCCGCCACGCACCGAGGATTCTTAACCTCTTTGCCAGAGATAGGCATAAGCGTTGGGATCTTGCTTGGCTATGTATCGAATTACTTCTTCGCAAAATTGACCCTAAAGCTAGGGTGGAGGATGATGCTAGGTGTCGCGGCGATCCCTTCCCTTGCCTTGGCATTCGGGATCCTTAAGATGCCTGAATCGCCAAGGTGGCTGGTATTACAAGGCCGGCTGGCCGAGGCAAAAAGGGTCTTGCTCCTAGTTTGTAATTCAGAGCAAGAAGCAGAAACCCGATTCCAAGACATAAAAATAGCTGCCGGGATCGACGAGAATTGCAAGGAGGATATTGTCGAGCTTCCGAGGAAGACTCGCGGCGAAGGTGTGTGGAAAGAGCTCTTGCTAAGGCCCTCACCCTCTGTGCGGTGGATCTTGTTGGCTGCGGTTGGGATCCATTTCTTCGAGCATGCAACGGGGATCGAAGCAGTCATCCTCTACAGCCCGCGGATATTCAAGAAAGCCGGAGTGATCAGCAAGAAAAGGCTCTTGCTTGCCACAGTTGGGGTTGGCCTCACAAAGCTCACATTCATAGTGATAGCCACATTATTGCTTGACAAAGTTGGCAGGAGGAGATTGCTCCTAGTGAGCTCTGGGGGGATCATCATCGCCCTAACTGGATTAGGGTTTTGCTTGACAATGGTGGAGAATGCCAAGGAGCAACTCTTGTGGGCTCTCATCTCGAGCATCATGGCCACGTACACATACGTGGCCTTCTTCTCGATTGGGATCGCCCCAGTCACATGGGTCTACAGCTCGGAGATATTCCCATTGAAGCTGAGGGCTCAGGGGGTGAGCATCGGTGTCGCGGTGAACCGGCTCATGAACGCGGTCGTGGCGATGAGCTTCCTCTCGATAGCAAACGGCATGACCATCGGTGGGAGCTTCTTCATGTTTGCTTGCATATCCTTGTTGGCTCTGGGATTCTTTTATTTCTTCTTGCCTGAGACAAAAGGCAAGTCCTTGGAAGAGATTGAGATGCTCTTCACAAGGAGGAATAGTAACACCGTGGACACAGGCAAAGAGATCCAGCCAAACGTCTAGTGTAGACTGGAGACACTTGAAGTAGTATAAGTTACACGTAAATCTTTGACGTGCTCAAGAGTTGGAATATATATGTAAGGTTATGCTTTAAGTTACATAAAAAACCTTGTAATTTAGTTCAAATATGGTTGAGAAAGTGTACATATCCAACTCTGATCAATATCAATGCTGCTTTTTCTTATCCCTATCTTTTAAGCGCTTCTGATCTCTAGTTCAACTCACTATCCCATTTCAAGAACTTTCTACCACAATTGATTTCTTGAACATTTGAATGTGGACTTAGCATTGATGGTTTAAAGTCAAACCAAATCGATCATATGACAAAAATAGGATCATGTGGTTTGGGATGTCACTTTCTCGGGTTGGTTTGATATTTCGGCTAGAAATTTCAAGACCACATATTGTTATGTTACAGTGCGGAAATATTTAGTCCAAATAGAACCCCGGTTGAACCTCGAAAATCCCTTTTAACGTTGTGGCGCACCTTTGATGACCCAATCTGATATCATATGCTTGCGCATCTCTTATCTTCCTCAAATTGTGGAGCTAGTGATCCACTGGTGCTTGATCTGTATAAGCCACCACCACCAGTGCATCACTGTGACCCAATCTGCGTGGTTTTGTTACTATGGCATAAGAACATTTTGACTCTTCTCCAGTTACCGGAAATGACTTTGTGAACTTTTCAAAACAGGGATTTCAGGGGCTTTTGGCCCTTGACGATCAGAAGATTTTGAATTTGGATCATTTCATCATGCATGTTACCGAATTTCGAAGGTTATCATTCTTAACTCAGTTTTGGACCATGTCATGTGTTGGTTATGTGTGATCTTGTAATTGAATCATGTGCATGGGTTGTGACAAGTAATCCATGAAGACGAGGTTCAAACATCAAGCAGAGTAGAAAACTGAAAGTTTAAGGATTAAGACTCCAGTTTCTTAAAGGTCAGAGACTCGCCAATGCGAAAATTAGTAGAGCCACTTGCATTATTTTTAGTTTATTAAATCTTCTTCACTCGAGATAATTGGGCCTTTCGTTAATTTTATCAGGCCATCTTTTAAGAGTAAATTGAAAATTTCATTCGACTTATTAATGTTGAACGAGTAAACTTGGATATCTTTAGCCCTAACCATTCTTTTTTCTTTTATTTTTGAAAGCTTTAAGAATCGACAAACGCAAGGCTTGTCGAGCATCATATTTGCCGCATTTATTTCAATGTTTTCATTTGGGATATTCATACTTCGATTTATAATAATCCATTAACGCCACATTTTATCAAAGTTTTTAGGTGGCCCTTTATCTTTGTCTGTAAGAAGTTGCTCATACATGCACACTCTCATTGCCAATTGAAATAAATTGGCAAACTTTTGGCTTTCGAATTTTTCTCTTTGAATGAATATCAATCCATTAAAAGCCAAACTCGTGAACTCTTTTTCTGAGAGTGAAGTAAAGCCTCCATTCCGAGTCTTTTCACTATTGTATTGATAAAGTTTGGCAAAATTAACAATCAATACTTCAGGTATCGTTCTATAAAATTGAGAATGAAATTGTCTTTCCATTTCTGTTCAATTATAACGAATTAGGTGGCAAATTAGTTTACTAGGTAAAAGCAGTTTTTGAGAAAGTCAAAGAAAATAATCTTAGTTTTAAAAACTCGTTTGTCCCTATTTCTCCACACTAGGCTATAAATTGAACAATGTGTTCGATGATCGATTGTTCATTTCTGCCAATAAAAACGGCAAAGTCAGGCATTTTGAAACCTCTTGGAAAGGCTGATTATCAACCCATTCAGAATATGGTTTCCTACAAATAGGTATGATAACATCTTAGTTTTTTTTTTTTGGGTTAGGATGATAACATCTCTGTTTAACCCCAATTGCTGTTGAACTTCTTCGACAAACTGCGCTGGGTTCAATTGTGGATTTAGTTGGCCATTTTCCCCCTAGACAATGATGCTGGTTTTTTCCGAATTATCTCCATTAATTGACATGTTGGGGCTAACAGGAATATTCACATTACGTGGTACCAATGGAGCCATTGGGCTTACAATTTCAACATTTGGCAATTGACGGGCCTGTCGATCAATTTGATTTTTCAAATTATTGTCACCAATTTGGTTGTTTTGACGGACACTATTAACATTAATAAATGGAGAGGGATTAGGAATGTACATACCCTGTTACCATTGGATTGAATAGTGGGGGTTGATTGGACGATCCTAGCCTCGAGAGAACATCATTCATAGCATTGACGATGATCGACTTGATCATGTCTAACATTTAACTCACAATATAGCTGCCCATATCGTTTCGCTGCTCTTCTAATAACCTCTTCATGCTGGCCAACATATGAGGATTCATTGCAACTTCTCTCGATTGCTCTTTATTGAGACGTCGGGGAAGTTTTGCCCCCTCACGTTGTCCTTCTTCTATTGCTCAATTAATGGCCGAAGAGTCTGAGTGCACAGCAACTTCGTCGCCAGTTTGTGGCACTGGATTATTGTTGCCGGCAATGTTACTGGACTTTTGTTGATTTTTTATGCTTGCCATCGCAGTCTCCTCAAATCAACATGATGTGTCCTACTGAGCGTGCCAAAAAGAGGTTTCACCTTAACAGAATCGACAATGAAATATCTTTCAATATATCTAAATGGAAGTTTCACTGGAAATGAATTGACGATGAAATATTTTTCGAATATATGTGGATCGATGCGTGAATCGACAAATGATATGAAGGGTCCTTTGTTTATTTTGGACATGAAAGTAAATGACAAGATAATTAAAGGTACGAAGATTGGAGGTATTCGCAACTAGCCATTTAAATTGAGGAACAGTAAAGATAAAGATGAATTTGTAAAGAACATTAAGTTTTGTGATTGATTGAGGGTTTTACAAAGAGTACGGTATGGTTATTTAAATACGATAATCGATGGTTACAAAAGATTATTGAATTTAAAAAAGATGACTTTTAATCCTATTAATCAGAACAAATAACTTCCTAATCCAATTTGCTGTTACAAGAAGTTACAATAACACTAATCCACAAAAAGTTACAAAAATCCTAAATTAGCAGCACTAAACATAACCACTTAGCAATTACCTATTATCTAGTAACAATTATATAAAAGAAGCTATAGATTGGAAACTTGTTTGATAGTTGCATTTTGATGTTGATGACTTCATCTCTACTGAAGGTTCTTATCGATAACTGAAATTTGTTATCGATAAACTTTATTGGCGAGTTGTCAATTCTCTTCAAGTTTTCGATTGTTCTTTTCATGGATGACTTTTGTTTTTCACCAAACTCTGCTCTTATCAATCAAGTATATCACTTGTCGATTATAAGTAAAAGTTGGTCATTTTTTGTGTTAACGATAATTGAGTTATGTAATGATACTCATGGAAATAACAAGACCGATTAATGAAAATGGTGTGACCAAATCTAACTTGATATCGAAATAAGTAGACTGTACTCTGCATCCAATAATTAGATGTTATCGAATCTTTTCAATTTCCATTATTAACGAATTATTTCACAAGACTAGAGATTAAATTTTCATGACATTTAAATGTTGTCACTAAATGAATTGTTTTGGACCAAGGTTATGCGGAAGGGTCGCCGCCCAAAAGGTTGGAGTTAACCTTGCTATCCTAATTAATCACTTTGTTTATCTGATGGGATCGTCAAAGCTTAGAGTGGTAACCCGTATCTTTCTAAAATTCGTGGCTATTGTTGGAGGGTTCCAAAGTTCAAGAATGCATGATAACTTTCCAAAGTTCGGCACCTATATTATGTAACGGTGCCAAAGCTTATGGGGTGTTTTGAGCAATCATCATCTTACTTTCATTTTATAATCTAGGGATACGGATACAATGATATAGTTACCTGAAAGCCCATGAAACATCATGCAAGCTTCGTGGCCTCGTTAAGTCCATGCTCTTTGGCCTCTGCAAAAAAGTTTAGACATAATTGGTCAGATTTGAACATATAACCTTCGGTTTCTCAGCTGGAAATCTTTTGACACTCAAGCTAATTGCGCCAATCTATGGGTTTACTTATTTTGCCCTGAAAAAGATCAAATTGAAACTGCCAGTGTTAGCTAACAGGATTTAGATAATTGGAATTCAATCCATAAACTGGTTGATATTTCCCTTTCGAGACTGTTTGCGTAGAAAAACAATTTGCAAACTAACGAAGTATTTAAACTGTTAATTAATTTGTCGTCAAAAGTCTAGCCCTGCAAGTGGCCTTAAAGCAAAATTTTCCAGCTGGCAAAAGTCATTATACAATTCACATCTACTCGAGTTTGGTAAGCCTATCTTAATCCTAACCTTAATGATCCAAATTAAGGTTTTCGGGATCTTCCCGTCCTGTAATTAATAGCACGTTGGTTTGGTGGGCACCACCTTTTCACCGCAAAGCATTTGGGATTATGAGGTGAAATCTCCCACAGAGTAATAGACTGTCCATTAATAAAAGGGATAATGACATAAATGATCCCTAAAATTTAACATAATGTATTCAATGGTCCCTAAAATTTAACACAATGTTGATGCGGTCCCTAAATTTTGAATATATTTGATGTGATTTGTGAACTTTTGGTGCATATCCAATTTGTCCCCTAAACTATATGAAAATGTTCAATATTGTCCTTCTATCAATTTAAGTTCAAGGACAACATTGAACATTTTCATATAATCCACGGTCTAAATTGAATAGGTACTGTAAATTCAGGAATTGCATTGAATAATTTAAAAGTTCGGGGACCATATTGCACATTGAGCTAAAGTTCAGAGATCACATTAAACAAATTAAAATTTCAAGAATCACATGGGTCAAAGTTCAGGTGCAATTTATATAATTTTCCCTTAATTAGAGGGAAGAGGGTATTCTACTAATAAACAATCAAGTGCCTCCCCCGGTCTTGTTTCTGTCTCTGTCCCTGTCCTTATCCAAGTCGCTGATGATGACGTGGCAAAGACGGGGCAAAGTGCCCCTCATTAAGATTTTATCGACCCAGCTAACCTCAAGGTTGATTTCTTGCCAAAGTGGTTTATATTGATTTCCTTTTTCGATTCTGCTGGTTGGGATTTGCCAGTTTGGCAGTAATAGATGACGTTCTTGAATGGCATACAGCCTCTCTAGCATCGCTGAAAGCAACCGCTGCTCAGTGTGCGACT